GGAACGGTCATCCACCTGAATGGAAGAGGGCCTTCTTGTTTAAGCCCCCAGCGGTAGATTGAACATCTTCTTGACTGAGGAACGTGTCCCACTGCAGCTTCTCTGGACCACCCATCGCCCGGACCTTCGTCAAGCATCCTTCAAGGTAGCTGATGGGGTCTTCTGGCCGGGAATACATCAGTCCTGTCAACATGCTCTGGAGGAGGAGGAGGAGGAGGAAGAGGAAGAGGAAGAGGAGGAGAAGCAGTAAGAGTGAGGTATTTTTTTTTTTTTTTTAAAGGACCTCGTTCCTAAATTACAGGTGGTTTCCGACTTAGGATCACAACATTTCTGCTGCTAAGCAGAAACATGGTGTGTTTTGTCCCATATTAGGATCTTCCTTCTTAACTGAAGCACTGCTGGTTGTTCAGTTAGTGACATGGTTGTTAAGTGAATCTGGACACACACACCCCCATGCTGTCAGAAGGTCGCAAAATAGGATCGCGTCCACCCCAGGGCGCTGCAACCGTCATAAGTACGAAGCGTCTGAATTTTGATCGCGTGACCGTGAGGATGCTGCAACCGGTCGTAAGACACCTTTTTCAGTGGTGTTGTAACTTCGGTCGCTAAATAAAACTGATGTAAGTGGAGGATTATCTGTAACTTAGGAGGAGGAGTGTCCATGGCTAGGACTCCTGGACTTTCCCCAAGAGTGACAGTTGAACGTGCCAATCCAATCAGGCAGCATAAATTTCCCGGTGATTTCATTTGTCGGAGGATGGAAGCTTCCTAAGGGTGGAAGCTTCCCAGAAGAATTTCCTTTGGGCTTGAGCTTGCAAGTCTTATACACCCACGTGCAGGGAAACCACATTTTCCATTCATCCCTCTCCAGATCCAACAGGCCTTCTGTGCGTGCTCAGAAGCACTCCTTCCTCTAAAGAACGCTTCAACTGGTGCTCCTGTTTTATTTTGAAGTATCTCCAGTGAATTCAGGGCTGCTGACTGGGGAATATCTTAGTGTCTGCAAGGAAGGATGTGTGTACTGAGATTTGAAATGCAAATTTTAGCATAGTGTCCTTCAATGTCAGCAACTGTAAGACCACTGGACTTCAACTCCCAGAATTCCCCAGCTCCCCAGCTGGGGAATTCTGGGAGATGAAGTCCACAGGTCTTTAAAAAACTCTCGCACCCTTTTTAAAAAGTTCTCGGAAGAGATGCCTTGTAAAACCAGCTTTCAGAATTAGCCATGGAGACATTTGCTGTGTTGTGATGCTGCTATGGACAAACACACCCTCATTATTTAGATTTCTTGGCAGAATTGTTCGAGGAGAAAGAAATCTGCTGATCCGTACAAGGCAACCCACAATTGAATTTAGCCCGCCCTTTTCTAACATCCCCGAATGCCTCAGAGTTAGCATCACTCTGATGAATTATGGGAAAATCCAATGGGGAAGGGTCTCTGGCCTTAACGCACCCTTAGCTGGTTGCCCCTATTTATTGCATAGCACAGAACAGCAAAGCACAGCACAGCATAGAATGTAGAATATAGAATAGAATATAGAATAGAATAGAATAGAATAGAATAGAATAGAATATAGAATAGAATAGAATAGAATAGAATAGAATAGAATAGAATAGAATAGAATAGAATAGAATATGGAATAGAATAGAATAGAATAGAATAGAATAGAATAGAATAGAATAGAATAGAATATGGAATGGAATGGAATGGAATGGAATGGAATAGAATAGAATAGAATAGAATAGAATAGAATAGAATAGAACAGAGAATGGACTAGAATAAGGATAGAGAATAGAGAATAGAGAATAGAGAATAGAGAATAGAGAATAGAGAATAGAATAGAATAGAATAGAATAGAATAGAATAGAATAGAATAGAATAGAGCTGGAGGTCTTCTAGTCCAGCCCCCTGCTCAAGTAGGAGAACCTATACATTTCAGATAAGTGACTGTCCAGTCTCTTCTTAAAAACCTCCAGTGATGGAGCACCCACAATTTCTGAAGGCAAGCTGTTCCAGTGGTTAATGGTCCTCACTGTTAACTTAATTCTATTTTTTTTTCCTCCCAGAAGTTTAATGCAGTCTATCTGGGAATTTCCCTTCACTTTAACTCTACAACAATCCTGTGAGGTAGGCTGGGATGTGAAAAGTCCCAAATATGAGTTATTTGGAAAAATAATAAAGGAGGAACAACATAAACTAAAAACTAAGTTGGGACAGCTGCATAGAGAGCACCCCTATGTAGGAATAGTATATCTGTAAATATTAGCCAGAGATGGAATGTATTTTTTAACCCACCAGAAGGCTGTAGCCTTTAAGCCTGGATTGTAAATTGCAGTGGGCCTATTTTACTACAGTTCTGCGCAACGCCATTTCCCCCCCTCATTTTTGTTTTTCTTGTTCTTTGAATTGTTTATAAACCACCCTGTCTTGAAATATGGGACAATAAAGCAATAAAGAAACAAAATCAGGGCGTTGAGCAAAAACCTCCACTTTTTTGGCCTGACTCCATCTGCCTTATTATTTTCTTGGCGCAAGGAGAGCCCCCTCTCTCTCTTAAAAATGGAGCATCTTTAGGAAGTGGCAGTCTATCTTTCCATAGGATGTCGCCAGAGCGACCGCAGGCGGCCTATTTCAAATATTGGAATTATTAGGGGATGGAGAGCCAGCTATGCCTTCTACCGGCCCCCGCTAAAAGTCACGGCTACCTGCCTCTCTCCTGGGTACTGCTCAGAAATTTTTTTTTAAAAAAGGAGGGTTCAAGGAAAGCTAAGATAGCCCCTCACAGCAGCTGGAGGTTCTCTAGAGAGAAAAAAAAAGGGGGGGAGTAGTAGAGCAAAGTGCAATGCATGAGGAAGAGGCATTCACATCTCCCCAGTTCAGGAGGTCTGGTTTGCAAAGTGGTTTGCCAGTTTTTCCGTGCCAGCTGATGGTTTGACTCATTTTGGGGCATTCATTTCATCCATGGCATCAGCCATCCAGCCTGGTTTGCAAATAATGGGGGGGGAAGCCCCATCCCAAAGAGGCCCCCCCAGAGTCCTTAATGCAATGGGGGAACTCCAGTCTTTGCCCCCCACCCCCCAGATTTGGGGTCGCGCCAGAGGAAGAGGCGCGATTCTCCCCCACTCCAGTCTCCCCTCTCCAGCCGAGGCGCGCAGCTTTATGCCCCATTCTCCACGGTGGAAATCCACCCCTGTGTCAGCCTGGATTGGTAGCCAAACGTCTCCGGAGCCATCTGGACAACCTCCCAGAGCTTCTCAAGCGTCACACACACACACACAAACACACTCACACACTAACACGGGTTGGAGGGGAGGGCAACATCGTCGCGACGGGAGAGGCCAAGTGACTAACCCTTAAACGTGGGTCTGCGGCCGCTTAATTGAACCGTCGGAACGGGCAAGGGCTTCTTCTGAGGCAAGCAGGCTTTACGGTCGGGCCTCGCGCGAGACGAATACGAGTCTAACCCTCTCCCTCCTTTCCCGGGGATCCTGGAGAGGCTACCTCTCCCCACCCCGCGCGCGCGATTCTCTTGGCGCCCTGCGCAAAGTTGGGACGTTCCCAAAGCGCTCTGAAGGGATGCAGGCTGCGCCCGGGGCGCTTTGTGCATGCTCAGAGGCGCCCCCGGCGCCCGGGAGGAGGGGGCTTTGCCCCGGCGGAGGAGCCGCCCCAGGACCTACCTCGAAGAGCCGCGGGATCTGCCGGCTGGAGATGTAGTCGCCCGCCTCGGCTGAGTCGCTCATCGCCCTGCTGGGACGCTCGCCCTGCCCTTCCCTTCCCTTCCCTTTCCCCTTTTCCCTTCCCTTCCTTCCCTCCTCCAGCCCTGTTCTGGGTGCCGTTCTCGGCTCGGGGCGGGGTTCGGGGGGGCGGGAGGTCGAGACGAGAACTGCCCATGTGTGGCTGGGTGGAAAGAGTATCTCTGAGCCTGTGCAGAGGGGCTGCGCAAAGCTGGCAGGGGCTGTTTTTAAGGTTCTTTAAAACGGCCTCCAATTCTCTCTCTCTCTTCTTTTTCTTTTTCTTTCTCTCTCTCTCTCCCTTCTTTCTTTTTCTTCCTTCTTTTTCTCTCTATGTCTCTATTTGTTTTTGCTTTTTTCTTTCTTTCTTCCTTTCGTCTTTCTCTCTCTTTTTTCTTTCTCTTTCTTTTTCTTTCTTCCTTTTGTCTTTTTTCTTTCTCTATCTCTTTTCTTTCTCTCTCTTTTTTCTTCCTTCCTTCCTTCCTTCCTTCTTCCTTTTTTCTTTCTCTTTTTTCTTTCTCTTTTTTCCTTCCTTCCTTCCTTCCTTCCTTTCATCCTTCTCTCTCCCCCTGTCTCTTCTCTCTCTCTCTCTCTCTCTCCTTCTTTCTCTTTCTTTCCCTCTTTCTCTTTTTTTCCTTCCTTCCTTCCTTCCTTCCTTTCATCCTTCTCTCTCCCCCTTCTGTCTCTTCTCTCTCTCTCCTTCTTTCTCTTTCTTTCTCTCTTTCTCTCTCTTTCTTTCTTTCCTTCCTTCCATTCCTCTTCCTCTCTCTTCTCTCTGTCTCTTTCTCTCCTCCCTCTCTTTTTCATGTGTGTGAGCTTCAGCCTGCCACCCCTCTCCCCTTCAGACTCATCTGATAACACCTCCCATCCTCCCCGTCCCGAAGCTCTTTCTTTCAACTGCACCCTCCACAAACTCTGCATGAGGTCTCCAGCCAGCTAGCAGGATCCTTCTTTTCCTTAAAAACAATAGAAAAAAAACCACACCAATATTCTTCTTCTTCTTTTTTTTTAGAACCATTTTGAATTTTTCCCAGGGTATGTTGGTGTTGTGCTAAGCCAGGAGGGGCCAACCTAGAGTTCCCCACTGCGTTTATGGGAAGCACGCAGGCTGCCTGGCTGGTCTCGGTCCAAAACGGTTCAGAAAAAAATCACATGTTCAGGTGCTTCAGAGAGGAAATAACAGGCCTGAAAAGACTTTAGGAAAGGGGGGTCAAAGGGACAATTCTCTTTTCCTCCCCTTCTCTGCTGAGCGGGATCCTCGCCGCTCAGAAAAGGGAACTGGAACACAGGCAGTCCTCAAATTGCAAGCAAAGTGGAACCCCGGATTTCTGTGGCCCAACAGAGAAATTTGATACGGGAGTTTTGCCCCCTTTTGCGAATTTTTCTTGCCACCTGTGAATCGATGCCACTGTTGAAGTAGTAACCTGGTTGTTAAAGTGAATCGTGGAAGGTGCCTGGGAAAAGCCTGGCCTTTTTGCCTGGCACCGTGCCAGCTTGGGGGTAAGAAAAGACTAGGGTAACGTAATGCTGCAATCCTATGGTGTTGCCCCCAAAGTATGCAGGACATTACACTTAACCAGGGGAATTCTGGGAACTCCTTTTTTCCTTCCTTCCTTCCTTTCTTCCTTCCTTCCTTCCTTCCTTCTGATACTTCTTTTCTTTCATTATATTCTTTTTTGTTTCAATATTAAGTGTAATTCTTTGTTCCCTTTCCTTCCTTCCTTCCGATATTTCTCTTTTCTTTCGTTATATTCTTTCAATATTAAGTGTAATTCATTGTTCCATTTCCTTCCTTCCTCTTCTGATACTTCTCTTTTCCTTCATTATATTCTCTTTTCTGTTTCAATATTAAGTGTAATTCTATGTTCCCTTTACTTCCTTCTTTCCTTCTGATACTTCTTTTCCATTATATTCTCTTCTATTCCAATATTAAGTGTAATTCATTGTTCCCTTTCCTTCCTCCCTCCCTCATTCCCATCTCCTTCCCTCCCTCCCTCATTCCTTCCTTCCTTTTTTCCCTTCCTTCCTTCCCTCCCTCATTCCTTCCCTCCCATTCCCATCTTCTTCCTTCCTTCCTTCCCTCCCTCATTCATTCCTTCCTTCTTTTTTTCCTTCCTTCCTTCCCTCCCTCTCATTCCCATCTTCTTCCTTCCTTCCTTCCTTCCTTCCTTCCTTCCTTCCTTTCCTCCCTCATTCCCATCTCCTTCCTTCCTTCCTCCCTCCCTCCCTCTCCTCCCCTTTTTTGTTTTCTTCTTTCTTTTTTCCTTTTCCTTGCTCTTTTTATTCTTTTTGTCCCCTTCTGAGTCTGCATTAGTTCGTACTACGGCCATCAAACTTCTGAAGTATATAAAAATCCACCTTGAAGAAGAAGAGAAAAAAAAGCAAGACCTTTTTAGTCAAGTCAACGTTTATTAAAAGTGTCTCCTTTAAGATTCATCAAACACGTCAAAGCAACCTTAACAGTAAAGAATGTCACAGGCGGGTAAATGTTCAACCGTCTCAGAATGAATGAAAAGGCAACAGTGCAAAATCCAAACCAAAACATCCTCACCGCCAGCCATCGCTTTGGTACCAAACGTTTGAGGAAGGGGCTGTTTGTGTGTGTGTGTGTGTGTGATCTTTTAACCTGGCTCTTCCAGCTGGGGACAGTGGACTTCGCAACCCAACAGGTAGAAATCATTGAATTGAGAAAGATGAATGGAGAGCCAAGTTTTGAAGGGGAGAAACAGACGGGTCCCCGAAGTGCAAAGAGCAATTCTTTTATTGAATTTTGCAAATTGAGATTGTCGCAATTCCAAAAGTCATTTGGGGAGCTGGCAAATCAGAGGCCAGGGCTGTGTTGCCAGGCTGAATAAGCTGCCCAAATTGCCTGGGTGCTGGGGCACTGGCCACCCACCATGGGGCAGAAAAAGTAAGATCAACAGAACTGGGCACAGGTGACTGCACAGGTAAGGGAATTCTTCGCTTGCCCAGCAGTAGGTAGGAAAGTCCTTCAGAAACTTTTTAAGGGGTTCTTTTCCTGAGCCCAGATAGGACTGGATGACCGCCGGAGGGCTGTTTCCTGTCTCCCCTGCTCTTCATTTTAAATTTTATTTTATTTTTTTGTCATAGGGAAAGAAGAAAAAAATAGCACCCCGATGCTTGCTCTCCCCGATGCTCCCAAGATTACAACTCCCATCCTGCCCAGCCATGGGAGGGGAGGTTTTGCCCAGTGGTCCCCCCCCCTCTAAAAAAAATAAATAAATAACACCTTTGGAAGGACCGAACAGGTCAAGCGAGAGGGGTCAAGGGCAGCTAAGCAGATGGCGGGGGCCTCACAAGTCTCCTCGTCCCTGATCCCCAGCGAGTTGGCTGGGGATAATGGGAGTTGGAGTCTTCAGTTCAGGAGGGCTCCCCCCCCCCTCCAGGATCAAGTCTCTGAAGTCGAACAAGGCAGCGAAAAGGAGCCAGGGAGAGAGAAAACAAATCCCTCTTGGAGAACTTACCAACCGCTAAGCATCCAACTAGAACCAACTTGGATGGGCTGCCATCCAACCGCGAACTTGTCGGACTTCTAATTTCCCACAATGCCCCGAGGCGCTCCTCTGTGGCATGATGGGAAATAACACAGCGGTCCAGGAACCAGAGAGGGGGAAAAAAATCTCTCTCGGAGAGCTTACACCGAGCTCCACCGGTCCTAGAAGAACCTTACAAGGGGGTTGAGATGGGCTTCCATCCAACTGTGGGACCGTCAGACTTCTCATTTCCCACAATGCCCCAGGGCGCTCCTCTGTGGCATGATGGGAAACTTAAAACCTCCAGGCTCTGCTAGCCAGGCCCAGCTAGGGTGGGGCGCCTGCAGGATCCCGGCTTTGGCACTTGTGTGGTCTCCTCGTGGCCCTACTCCCACTCGGGGTGCGAGAAAGTGATGTTGTACAGACTAGCCCATTTGGCGAAGACCCGTTTCTCGGTGATGAAGCGGTGGTGGTTCCCTTTGTGGCTGCGTTCGTTGCGGATGTACGTGGTGCATTCGTCCGGCCCCTTCGGTTCGTAGTAGTGGTAGGGCAACCGGTGGGGAGGGGTCTTCATGCTGGGGAGGGGGGAGAAAGGCCAGGTGAGGTCGAGAAAGGGGAATCCCCCCTCCCCAGCCTCGGAAGCCAGGCGCGGGGCAACTTACGTGCAGTAGCTGGGGGGCACCATCCCGTAAACGTGGAGTTTGTCGCACAATTCGACGGCGATAACCATGGTGAACCATCCGGTGCTCAGCCACGAGCGTGACGTCTGCCTGGGGAAGGGCAGAGGAAACCGGAGAAGGGAAGAAAATATTTTTGACACTTCCTTTTGGGCGGTGAAAGGGCGGGAAGGACGAAAGGAAGAGGCTTCTGTTTGCCTTTCGCCAAGGCGCAGGGTGGCTACATCAGAGTTTCCTCAAGGTTGGTGGACTACACCTCCCAGAATTCCCCAGCGCTGGCTTGGAGACCATCTGTCAAGGGTCCGGTTGGCGAATGCAGAAAAAAAAACTCATTCTGTCAATCTGCCACTCAACTTCTCCCTCCCTCTCTCTTTCTCCCCCTCTCTCTAATCTATCATATATGTCTATCATCGATGTATCGCTATCTGTCCATCCATCCATATTTATCTGTCTGTCAATCAATCATCTATCTATCTATCATCTATCTATCTATCTATCTATCTATCTATCTATCTATCTAGCTAGCTAGCTAGCTAGCTAGCTAGCTAGCTAGCTAGCTAGCTAGCTATCATTTAGCTATCATCTATTTATTTATCATTTATCTATCATCTATCTATCTACTATCTATCTATCTATCTATCTATCTACCTACCTACCTACCTATCTAGCTAGCTATATCTATCTATCTATCTATCTATCTATCTATCTATCTATCTATCTATCTATCTTTCTATCTATCATCTATCTATCTATCTATGTATCTATCTATCTATCTATCTATCTATCTATCTATCTATCTATCATCTATCTATCTATCTAGCAATCTATCTATCTATCTAGCTAGCTAGCTATCTAGCAATCTATCTAGCTATCATCTATCTAGCTATCATCTATCTGTCTGTCTGTCTGTCTGTCTGTCTGTCTGTCTGTCTGTCTGTCTGTCTGTCTGTCTGTCTGTCTGTCTGAAATACAGGAATTAAACACGGTTCTAATTCGGCTAATTGATTTTGTAGGAGTCTCACTAAGTTTTAGCTTGCTAATTTTTCTGGGAACTCTTTTGACCGAGGCAGAAACTTTGCAAAAGAAAAAAAAACCCCTCATTCTTAATTTCTTGAATTAAGTTCGGTCTGATTGGGGCTGATGTGTTTTTTTGAACCCCTAAAAAGCTTCTCTCTCCGCGACTGTCTTGAGGCTAGGAGTTCCGCAGAATCTCGGCTCAAGGTGTGAAATACCTGCCTTCCTTCCATCCTACAGACTCACCTGTCCTTGCCCGTCTCTTTTTGGAACAGGTCGTCAAACTGCTGCATGCGCTTCGGAGAAGCCACGAAGGCGGTCATGTTGGGGAAACTGAGGCTGACCCGTTCGATGAGCTTGACGATGCTCTTCTGCATCTTGACGGGGGGACCCCAGAAAATTAAGACGTTCTCGGGGGTCTTGTTGATGAACTCCTGCGGCCTCTTCAGGACCCGGAAGGCGCTGGAATGAGCGATGACGCGGAAGGTGGTCTTGTTCCCCACGTCCTCCCAGAAGCCCGTGGTGGGCGCGTCGTTCATGCGAATGGTGCATTCGGTCTGGTCAATGTCTCTGCCCAGCTTGCTGCCCAGGAGGTGACTGGAACTGGTGATGAGGACGCACTGATCGCAGTGACGGTCTAAGGGCTGGGGTAAAAAGTAACCAGGTTGGAGCAACGAGAGATGGCGGTTTGGCTTCGACAATCCAGGAGAAGAAGGAGCAAAAGAAGAGAGAGCAAAGAAGAGGAAAACGGAGAAGGAGAAGGAGAAGGAGAGGAAGAAGGAGTGGGAGGAAGAATTGGGGAAGGAGAAAAAAGGAGAAGGAGGTAAAGGAGAAAGAGAAGACAGAAGGAGAAAGAGGAGGAGGAGTGGTGGAAAGGTAGAAGAGCAAAGGAGGAGAAGAAGAAGGAATGGGAGGAAGGGAGGAAGAAGAGATAGACAATGAGAATGAGAAGAAGATAAGAGAAAGAGAAGGAGTCATGAAAAGAAGAGATAAAGAGAAGAAAAAGGAGATGAGGAGAAGGAGATGGAGGAGAAGGAGAAGGAGTGGTCAAAAGGGAGGAGATAAAGAGAAGAAGATGGAGAAGGAGAAGATGGAGGAGAAGGAGTTGTCAAAAGGCAGAAGGAGGAAGAGATAAAGAGAAGGAGAAGAAGGAGGAGGAGGAGAAGATGCAGAAGTAGAAGGAGAAGGAGTTGTCAAAAGGAAGGAGGAAGAGATAAAGAGAAGAAGATGGAGAAGGAGAAAATGGAGGAGAAGGAGAAGGAGTTGTCAAAAAGCAGGAGGATGAGATAAAGAGAAGGAGAAGGAGGAGGAGGAGGAGAAGATGGAGAAGAAGAAGGAGAAAAAGTTGTCAAAAGGGAGGAGGAGGAGGAGGAGATAAAGAGAAGAAGATGGAGAAGGAGAAGATGGAGGAGAAGGAGGAGTAATTTGGCCCCTTTGACCCCTTCAAAATTCAGATTTGGGAAGCCCCTTCCTCAAAAACACCCCGTTAATAGAAAACCACAATCCTTGGCTTGTTGAAATCCAGAACCCGGGTAAATTTGTCGAGGTCGTTGAGACACCTTGGGCAGAAAATCCCTCTGACTTGGGGGACCTCCCGGCCCCAAGGGAAGACCCCAGCCCAACCCACCCCAGCCCCTCCCCCTACCTTCCCTCCAGAGACAGGCACGTATTCGCCTTTCACCCCCCACTTCTTTAGGCTGGAGGGCAGCGGCGTCTTGTTCCGGGGAGCGGCGTAACGGAGGCCTTCGCCCCGGCTGTTGGAATTGTAAATGATCAGCAGCATGAACAAGGCGAAGAGGATCACCAGGACGACGGCGTGGGGGCTCTGCAGGGGCGGAGACAGAAGCGGGAAAAGGGACCACCAGGTGATCCAGGAGGTCAGCCATTTTCACTTGGACGTTTGCAAAAATTTGACGCATTTCGCTTTGGGCAGCCTCTACTCTCCCCCGGCTTCCCTTTTTTAGCCTGAATTTTGCAAATGCCGTTTTGGCTGATAAATAAACTTTCTCCCTGTTGCTACACAGCCACATTTTAATGGGTTTTATATATTTTTTTTTAGGAAAAACAAACAGGAGAAAAGTTACATCTTCGCCCTTTTGTTTCTTCCGAGAAGGGCTAAAAACAGGAGGCCGAACTTCGCTCCACATGGAACAGGCCTTTCAGCCCGAGCTTGATGGCTTGTGGGGGGGGGGGAACCCCCCCTACAGGGAGGGGCTTTCTAACCCCCCCCCAGTCTGTCTATTTCCTGGACTACAAAACCCATAAAAGCTAGAATTAAACCCTCCTTCGCTGCCTGGAACCAGGCCTGAAATCTTTGCAAAGAGATTGCATGCAGCAGGGGAGTTAAATTTTTGCAAGAAAATGGACCTGTTTTATCCCTGGCAGATGGAAATCCCCCCCCTCTCTTTATATCCTGGGGAGGGGGGTGTGTCTCCTGCTTGAAATCTCACCTTCCAAGAAAAGATGATGGGGGGTAGAGTCCTTTGCCCCAATTTCGCCCTGCCAATGCACTTCATGGCTGTCCTCTCTCTCTCTCTTTTTGCATTTTGCTCTTTACTCCTTCTCCCATCCCACTTTTCTCTGTCCCTCCCCTTCCTGTCTCTCTCTCTCTCTCCAAAGGAGCTGGACTCCAAGTCCCATCAGCCCCAGCCTTGGGTGGGGAGGCTTAGCTATTAGGAATCTCCTGGGCCAGATTCAGGAGGAGAAAAAAAAAAGAGTGATCCTTCCGACCAGCAAAGTCAATGTGGGGGGGGGCAAGATGGATTCGCTTTACGACCAAATTATTCAATTCACGACGAGTTAAGAGGTTAAGCAGTGATTTGCTGAACCCCCCCTGGCCAAAAAATGGCAGTAAAACTGGGCGCCTTTGACCGCGGCCTGGAAATTCCAGCCCCAATTGCTGGTCGACAGTATCAGATGTTGCATTTTGCAAACTAGGGCGACGTAAAAAAAAAAAAAAAAAAAAAGGATCCGGCCCCAGTTTGCACCACTGTCCCATTTAAACGCAGACATCCAGGAACGGGGCGGTAAGGGTCTGAAGGCGTTCCTGCCAAAAAAATTCCTACCTTGTGGTTTTTCATTGTGGTAGCCGCAGTTTAGGGTGGAAACTCAGTCACTCTAGCCCGACCACCTGGATTAAAAGTGAAAGACACAAAGTCACCTCAAGAGCGCCAGGTTTGTCTTCAAACCTTAGAACCCCTCTGTCTTTCGTTCATTCTATCACTCTAACCACTCAACTTCTCTCTCTCTCTCTCTCTCACTCACACACACACACAATCTATCATCTATCTATGCCTATTACCTATGTATCTCTGCCTCTCTGTTTCTGTCTGTCCGTCCTTCTGCCTATCTATCTGCCTATCTATCTGCCTATCTATATGCATTATCTATCTATCTATCTATCTATCTATCTATCTATCTATCTATCTATCTATCTATCTATCTATCTATCTATCTATCTATCTATCTATCTATAGATGTAGATATAGATAATAGATATAGATGATATAAATATAGATATTTAACAGACGTTGTGGGTGCTCCAACACTGGAAGTTTATCTATCTATCTATCTATCTATCTATCTATCTATCTATCTATCTATCTATCTATCTATCTATCTACCTACCTACCTACCTACCTACCTACCTACCTACCTATCATCCATCCATCCATCCATCCATCCATCCATCCATCCATTCATCCATCCATCTATCTATCTATCTATCTATCTATCTATCTATCTATCTATCTATCTATCTATCTATCTATCTATCTATCTATATCTATCTATCTATCTATCTATCTATCTATCTATCTATCTATCTATCTATCTATATATCTATATCTATACCCATACCCATACCCATACCCATACCCATACCTATCCCTATCTATCTATCTATCTATCTATCTATCTATCTATCTATCTATCTATCTATCTATCTATCTATCTATCTATCTATCATCTATCTATCTATCTATCTATCATCTATCTATAGCTATCTATCTCTATCTACAGATATAGATAATAGATATAGATATTTATCAGACGTTGTGGGTGCTCCAACACTGGAAGTTTATCTGTCTATCTATCTATCTATCTATCTATCTATCTATCTATCTATCTATCTATCTATCTATCTATCTATCTATCTATCTATCCATCCATCCATCCATCCATCCATCCATCCATCCATCCATCCATCCATCCATATCTATCATCTATCTATCTATCATCTATCTATCTCTATTTATCTATCTCTATCTATCTACAGATATAGATATAGATAATAGATATAGATATTTATCAGAGGTTGTGGGTGCTCCAACACTGGAAGTTTTTAAGAAGAGGTCGGACAAGCATTTGTTCTGAATGTTATAGGATCTCCTGCCCAAGCACAGTGTTGGACTAGAAGACCTCCAAGGTCCCCTCCAACTCAGTTATTCTGTTAAAAACAACTTTCTGCCTCAAGTTAAATGCCGTTTTATTTTGTACAAGAAGAAAGGAATTCCTTTGAAAGGAATTTGGGGATGATTTATTTATTTATTTATTTATTTATTTATTTATTTATTTATTTATTTATTTATTTATTTAGAGGCTGATCAAACACGGATGAGTTTAAGCGCTCCGTAAAACGCCGCTCAGGGTCTGCTCTCATTTATTATTTTAAACCATCTCTATAGCCCTCCGATCTTGTAGGAAACCCTCAGAGGCTCCCAAACTGAAACCTCTCTTTGTCTTTCAGTCCTCAATTACATAACCTTAATCATCCTTTCCGGCAAATATTATTTCTTGGGCCTTGAGTGTCTCCGCTTGAAAATGGCAGAAAAAGAACGAACAGCGCTTCAGTCAGTCGGAACTAACCATATGCAAAGCATTGTTTCAAAGCACAACACCAAGTTATGATTTAAAACTCAGGAAAATCCCAAATACTTTATCCCAAAGTACCGTACCTAAAATATTGGCATCTCCACCCAGAAACAGGCTTCTGGCTTTCTGAGATCCAAATGGAAGCAGAGATTGCTTTGTTTGAGAGCTGCTCCCTGGCAGCAAATGGAGAAATACACTAATTTTCCATAAAAGGAAGGAGGGAGGGAGGGAAGTATGGGAAAAAACACAAGGCTCGCAGGGAGGAGAAAGTCCAAGGGGCAGAATGAAGTACATAGATTAACTTTGTTGTCTCAGTTTCTCTAGGTAATCTCTACCTCCTTTAGGCAATCTCTGTTGAACAAGAAATAAGAGCATCTGGTTAGAAATAAATAAAAAGAAATAATCTTTCTCCTTGGATTTAAATCCCAAAGGGGAGAAGGGAGCATATTTAACCATTTCTCCTCAAAGGCCAAACTGGGTATATTAATTGCAGGTGCTTTGGAATGTATTTTATATATTATTTATATATATAAATATATATAAATATATATATATGGAATGTATTTATATTTATATATATATGGAATGTATTTTATATATATATTACCGCTTTATAAAACCCTAGTGAGACCACACCTGGAATACTGCAGACCATTTTGGTCACCATACTACAAAAAAGATGTTGAGAGTTTGGAAAAAAAAAATCAGAGAAGAGCAAATATATATATATATATGGAATGTATTTATATTTATATATATATGGAATGTATTTTATATATATATTATCGCTTTATAAAACCCTAGTGAGACCACACCTGGAATACTGCAGCCCATTTTGGTCACCATACTACAAAAAAGATGTTGAGAGTTTGAAAAAAATTCAGAGAAGAGCAACTAAGATGATCCAAGGCCTGGAAACCAAAACATACGAAGAACGGCTGCAGGACTTGGGCTTGGCTAGTCTAGAGAAAAGAAGAAATAGGGGAGACATGATAGCAGTGTTCCAGTATATGAGGGGCTGCCACAAAGAAGAGGGGGTCAAATTATCCTCCAACGCACCAGAGAGAAGGAGAAGAAACAATGGTTGGAAACTGATCAAAGAGAGAAGCAACCTGGAATTAAGGAGAAACTTCCTGACAGTGAGGACAATTAACCAGTGGAACAGCTTGCCACCAGAAATCGTGGGCGCTCCATCCCTGGAGGTTTTTAAGAAGAGGCTAGACATTCACCTGTCTGAGACAGTATAGGTTCTCCTGCTTGATCAGGGAGCTGGACTAGAAGGCCTCCAAGGTCCCTTCCAGCTTTATTCTATTCTATTTAAAAGGAAAAATAATCTGGAGGAAGGTGGGGGCAACCCCCCCACCTTCATTTACCGTGGCAGGATGTCTCCTTTGAACGAAAGTGGGGGCACAGCAAGGAGGGCCTTTTCCTTCGTGTCGACGGCGCCATTTCTGTCTTCCGGAACGGTCTTCCATGCGTCTGGATTGTTTTTCTCTGAGCCTCACATCACTGCTGGGGTCCAGAGAGAGAATATGCAAGCAGAGCTGTGGAATAACCACGATGCAGGTCAGGATGAGTGCTAGCTTTATGCTCAAGCAAAAGGAAAGACAGAAAAAGAAAATGAAAATGAAAAAGGAAGGAAGGAAGGAAGGAAGGAAGGAAGGAAGGAAGGAAGGAAGGAAGGAAGGAAGGAAGGAAGGAAGGAAGGAAGGAAATAACAGTAACAGTAACAGAAATCATATAACAAAGTTGGTGGTCTTCAAATCCAATCCCCTGCTGAAATAGGAGACCCTATACTCTTCGGGACAAGAAAGAAAGAAAGAAAGAAAGAAAGAAAAAGAGAGAGAGAGAGAGAGAAAGAAAGAGAGAGAGAGAGAGAGAGAGAAAAGGAAGGAAAGAAGGAAGGAAATAATAGAAATAATAGAAATAGAAATAATAGCCCCGGGAGGGGTTAATTTACCCACTGGTCCAGCCCCCCAGTTTTCAAAGGAGTGGAGGAGTTTAAATGGCAAAGACCAAGCTGGCATTTTGGAGGCAAGTTGTTCCACTGATTAATAGAATAACAGAGTTGGAAGGGACCTTGGAGGTCTTCTAGTCCAACCCCTTGCTCAGGCAGGAGCAAAGGCATTTGTAGCCCACACTCGTAAAAATGCAGTTTTCACAAACAGTATTGTTTTAAAAAAATGTCCTGGTCCAGAGAGGGAAAACTGGCTGCTGTTTAGAGGTTTCCAGAATAGCAGATTTTTTTGGGGGGGTGGGGGTTGACCAAACTACACGATGCTTGCCAATTCCACATTTCAAACGCCAAAGAGAATGTCATGTTTTTGCCTCTTCTCAACATCCAACAAAAGGGGTCTGTTCCCATCCCATCAACCCACAATTTTGATTTTATTTCTTTCTTTCTTTTTTTTAACAACCAGAAGCGAGCCAGCTTCATAAATTCCTGCTTGGAAATAAACTAAAACCACCATTGTCCAACCTCCCACCCCCCAAAAAAAGTTTGGGGAGCCCCTGGCAGTTTCTGAAAAGTAAGGCTGTAGTTAATTAAGGATAATGGGCATCGCTGTCCCCTTTCCCATCACATTTTTCTTCTAATTCTTTTGTCTGGTTTACTCAGGTGATGCCAGCCAAGTCTGAGTGCTGC